GCCCGGGTGCAGATGGTAACAAGGAAACAGCCAGCCACGATCATCCAGCCCCATCCTCCATCTGGAGGGGAGGTAGACCCAGGTCTATTTACTTTTGCCATAGTTCCAATTCCTTTTTCTTCTTTTCTAAGTTATTCCAACAGCAATTTATGATCTCCGAAGAGTTTGCTGCTCAGTGGCTTCCTGTTGTTATTCAAGGTCGGCATAGAATGCTACCTGGCACATGGGTTACTGGCCATCTACAAATAAAAATGGGGACATATTTGTATTTTATTGCCCTGTCCAAAGGTGGGTTTTTTCATTTGGTAAGAAGTGATTGTTACTTTCCTGTTTGTACCCTGGCCTTCCCACTGGCCTGGTAGAAACCTGCTACCATGTTGCCTACTGCCCATGGACAGCCACTTGTTGTTTTTATTTTTGCTAACATCCCAAGTGAACTTGGAAGCTGATTTTTCCCTAGTTAAGAACATAGACTAGCTGACACCTTGGCTGAAGCTTTGTGAGGCCTTGGGGAAAGACCCCACTAAGCTGTGCCTGGATTCTGGCCCCATAGAAAATGCAAGGAAGTTCCTTAAGGCACTCTTCAGCCTCTTTAACTATAGTTAAGGACAAAATTTTTAAGAGGCAAAATAAGAGTTTTGACAGGTACATTTTTTTTTTAGTGGATGGAGCAAATAACTCACTTGTTGATACAATTTCATTATGATTGCAAGTAGAAGTATTAACATTGATTAAATGAAAGATTGTTTCAAGCATGACAAAGTGTGCATTATCAGGTGAACATAGACTATGTACCACCTGGTAAATTATAGGCAAACCAAACTGCATAATAAGCTATGTGATGTGTTAATATAAGAAAATGGCTCACAACAGAATTTTGCATGAGTACATCTTTGAAGCCACTGGAACAAACTGTTTGCCAGTGAATTCTGTGAGCAAATATAGAGCACAGGTAGTGAAGCAGAGGCAGCAACGGTAATTCCACATACACCACTCAAGATGGCTCACTCTGAAGCCAGGTGCCTCCTCTTTATCTTATTAGCCATCCTGTGACTGTGGGGAGGCTGACAAAGGAGAGCAAGTAGACAGCTGAAAAGTATTACAGATTCATCAAAAATATTGGAAGACCAATATTGATACTAAACCTACTGATTAAAGAAAATAAAAATCATTATTGGAAATAATAATATTAATAACTGGCCTAGGGATTAATAGGTTTAATTAAAAATACCAGTGTCGGGGCTTGTGAAAACAATGATATAGAGCTACCATTTATAGAATACTTTCCATAAGCCAAAATGCTATTCCACAGCCTCAGAGACAGAATAACCAAAAGTTAACGCTTATAACAACCCAAAGAAAGTAGGTAAGAAACTCAGGCTAGAGA